GTTATGTTATAAACAAATGCGAAATGTCTGTTTGTAATATTGAATTAACCGCTTTTTACTACATGCATATGAATGTACATAAAATACATAATTATTACAAAATAACTCTGTTGACATTTTTGTCTATCTATCTGTTTGTACTGGTTAATCTCGGAAATGACTTGACCAATTTTGACAGGACTTTTATTATCAGGTAACTAATGTATAGACTACTTTTATTTTAGAAAAACGTAAGTAAAGAGGCGGACACAGCTACTTATTAAATATAACAGTGACGTTTGACTTATTGAAACGGTGCATTTACTCCAGTTTGCTATAAACTGTTCTAAACAAGGCCGCAGTTCCTTGCCCTGTCATGGAATGACGCTTGGGACGCATTCAACCGATGACGTAGTTAGCAAGCCAAGTACATATTGCATTGTATCGCTACTTCCTATAGCTTGCGTCAAACTCTCGGTATAACTTCCAGTTAACTTGACTATACAGTTTAACTACGACTGCAGCAGTCGCCCTTTGGATTTGTAATTAACACGAGAAAAGTTAATAAGCAATGATTAAATCTTACGCGTGTTTCACTGAACGTTTAAAAACTATGCATATTTAATGAACTTTGTTAATTAAAAACTATCTTTGGTTTTAGGTAATAAGATTTTATTTTGTTTAGTCGAAATATTTATTTATGAACAATTAAACTTTTATGCATCTTTACCCTAAAATCAAAAATCATTTAGTAGTCTGCACAAGGTACTTGTACAATGGTCACATTATAATTATAGTCCCTCTTATTCAGCCCACAATTCGGGCGTGCAAAACTTACAAATGGAAGTTATAATAATTAAAACTATAAAACAAGGTATGTCATATTAAGTGAAAAAAATGGCATTAAAGGTACATGTCAAAATGGAATTGCTTTATGCCCATGTGCCTGAAATAAATGAATTTTATTTATTTTTATTTATTTATTTATTTAAACAAAAAGTTAGAGATTTTTTTAAAACTTTATTTACTTCAGGATTTTTTCTTAAACTAAAACGACACCCCGATTATTAAATACAAAAAAGAACACTTATAAAAGACTTAGATTTAAGTTAACCCACAGTTAGAGATATTAACAAAAAAAAAAGTAATTTAAAATCCAAGAAAAGGGCGCATGTTGTATTTTTACGACTGACAATACGTATTAGGATTTTCAAC